TAACCGCTGGGCGCGAACTTACTACCAGCGATCGTATCTATATGTATATATACTTATATATATATATATATATGTAAATGCTTGTATATATATGTGTGTATATACATACCGACATATAATACGACACGTCGCCAATCTGCCAACTTGCAATAATACGGCCATTCATAATTTTTATGTGATCGCCATCAATGGGAAACGTCTTTTCCTCTTTCACCGTTTCGTTCACTCACTGCCATCATTGAATGTGTTTCAAACTCAGAAATATTCCTGATTGTATTTTCTTCGTTTCAAAACAAGCGTTATCTTCTACTCTCTTGTATATTCTTATTTTAATTTCATTTTTTTAAGAAACATTTCCACATTCGGAATAATTATAGCTCGCAATATAAAAATATTTGTCGAAGTAGCATAGTCGAGCGATAATTGCGTACGGCACGGTCAAACAATATATTTGTTCATTATTATAATATTACCTCAAGCGCAATAGCTTATGTACTTGGTTATGATAATTTAATTCAAGAATAGAAGAAGATTTTACGATAAGAGTTAATATATTACAAGTGTCAGCATTCCATTTTTGTTTACGTGAGAATGGCTTCTCCAAAAGTTGACTCAAGTAAGGCTCGGACTTGCGACTAAAACAGATAAATACGCGTAACATACGCCGATCGTATCGCGTACAAAGTGTTCTCAAATGTGCAAGATATAATCTACTTACGTAAGTCATTTACGTATCATCCTCGTCACGCTGGCTGCGATAGTCATCGATCATTATGATTAAACCGTTTATATCACAGCCTATCGCACGAACTTTCCCATATTGTGTCGATTCGTATCGACGAGATTCGACGAGACTGTACGCAGTGATAAGACACATTGTGACATGTTATTAAGTAAAAGTCCACTGACGTGTCGCGCTCACATAGGTACATATATCTGTAATACATTGTTACAATGAACAATATAATTTCGCGAAATTAATAAGCTTATATTAAAGCAAAGTCATTCACAGTGTGTCATCACGATGCTAGATTGTAATCGCAGAATGCGTAGAAAGCGTTACTGTAATTTCATCACAATTATTTAATTAGTTGGTTCTTTTTATATATAAAAACTTAAAAAATTGTCGTGTTCAAAATTCGATACAAAAAATGATATCTTAGAGAGTTTTTCTAAAACATGTTACAAGTATATGATACATGTACGTGTATTTGTAGTAAAACGTGAGATATATAGCAGCAAATCTTCGATTAATCTTTGTTCGCAATTAGCTTGATACGATTGCACTGTTATCAACCTTTGCCACATTTAATCTCGAGATTGTCATAACTGGTGTAATCGATTGTATGTATGGAGGTAGCTAAGAATAAAACTCTAGACAATGGTGCATATGTTGCTCATTTATTTTTCGCGTTTAACTGCAGGAGAAGTTTAATACGATATCAAAGACATTTAACAGAGATATAAGAAGGATATAAGGTATCTTCCGCTCACGTGACATAGTACGGTTATTAATGTATTTTCAGCAGCGTGTTATAACATTTTATCGAAAGGAAATGCCTGTTAGTACAATAACAAATTGTAGGCTTAACCGTGGCATAGGTTCTAAACGGGATTCCTCGATACATCAGCGATGTCGACGCTCGGTTCTTTCGGCGTTGCACGGACACCGAAAATAACACGGCAAACGCAGAGAAAAACGAGCGAGAACGCGCGAAGAGCGCGCGCGAGGACGAAAAGGTCATTATTTCAATTAAATTGATCGACGCGGATTAGCGATATGAATTCCACCGTGTTCTAAATTTGATGCAAGCGCACGCGATGTTCGCTGCGGTCGTCGAAACACAGAGAGCACGGTTTTTTGGCTCTTGGTAAAAAAAAAGACAGTTGTATTTATGGCGCGACAATTTTTCAAGCTGGAATTAAACTACGAGTGAGAACTGTATCATCCAACGTCGCCGAGTGCATTCGTACGAGATGTAGATCGACATACGGCAGATTTTAATTTAGGCAATGGTCAATGTCTCTCTTAATACTATTCTGATGATTTTAAATAGTAGATACTACAAATCGATGAGAGATATGAATAGATAAAGATGGAGAAAAATGATAAATATAAAAGTGAAATTTTTATCGTAAAATTATTGCTCAACTCAATTTGTTTACACACACATGTGCTGCGATTTATTTATGGTAAATTTATATATGCTTTGTTTTTATGGTTTTATCATTTTATTACTTCCTTGAAAATAACTATAATTAGCGATTATTAAGATCAATACAGGTAATATATAAGTCAGTCTTGAATGATATAATGATTAGAGGATAAAGTGAACAATATTATATTTGTAGTTAATTAGTGTTTTAATATTAGAATATGTTATATCGTTAGAAGAACGAAAATAGTTTCTAAAGTGACTGTGTAAAAACGTAATTTATCTTAAGTAGACAAGCTTGTAAAAAACTTGATCTGTACACATTTCATCGTAATTGATATGTTTTGAATATTGTGAAATAATGCGCGCGAAATGGAGATAAATATTAGATATATATAAAAAAAAAAATTCGTTTATTGACGCGGTATTGTCAAACTTACATATCAAAAGTATGTCAACGATAAAATATATTGACTAACATAATTATTTCTTCTTTTCTTTTAAACTTCGACATAAGTGGAGTAACTCTTACTGATAACAAGCCATTCAATTTTATCAGCATTCTAACAACATGCCACGTGTAAAGTACTATAACATATAATCGCGTTTGCGCCGGCATTCCTTTATATCTTCGGTATTCCTTTTACCTGCACTTACTTGTGTCAACAACATCCGTTGCGCTAGAATTTTTCTCAGGCAATAACGTCTCGACAAATTTCATACGTGCAAAAATATCATCGATAAATGTTCACTCGTAACGTCTACACGCGACACGGAAAAGCGACAGAAACGGATGGAAAAGGTGTCGTGAGAGGTGGTACCAATTACCACTTTTGAGATATGGTCGAAATGCAGCAGCATGCGATGCTGCTATTATGACAAAAACCTTCGTTGTTAGTAAGACAAGATAATTATTCCGCCAAGCTCGGCTCTTCGATCATTTAGGCGTGGCAACACATGTTCTCAGTTCAGCCGCTATGTGCGACATATATGCAAGGTATACCTATATACATACAGCGTGTCAGGACACGTGGTACGGAACCTCTCAGGCTTGCCAACGGCTATTCATTTTCGCAACCCTCTCCTTTCGCCGTTAGGGATTCGTCCCCGCAAATTATTCGATACGCCTCGCAAAGCTAAAAGCGAGTTAACGGCTAACGACGTGTCGCACGCATCGTGATTTTAATGACGAAAATCATTTATAACGTGTGTACTTTAGTTGGTCCGCAGTCCGAAATTAGCCCCAATCGTAATTTCTACAAACGTTGATACTGTCGCGCGACTAGTCGGCGAGGTTGTTTTGTAATCGTGCTGACAAGGTTTCATATCGCATGATCGTTACATTGTTACTAATAAGGAATATGTTTGTCGACGTTTGTATATGCGTAATGTGTCTGTGTGTGTTTGTATATGCATGCACATGAGGCTAACATATGATCACTCTTCATTATTATACATTTTTCTTTCAAATCATTATATTGAATCGAGAATGTTTTGAGTTGATCTTATATTGAAAAACCTTTTTGAATTTTATTAACACACACACAATTAACACAATATAAATTACAAAAATACTAATATAATAAAAAAAGTAAACTATATCGAAATATTAAAAGTGTGTCAGATATTAAGCATCTTACAAAAATATCTCTAATAACAATATTTTTAAAAAATTTGCTTTAGTTTTTTTTATTTGTTGATGTCAGAGATATATATATATATGTGAAAAACCAAACGAACATCTTTATCAATACATCCAACTATATTCCAATACCTTGTACAACAACGATATGTTATGATATTATCGTGTCTCTTTGCTTACATTTACATTAAAAAATATCATGTTTATTCATGTTTTATATCTTTATTTTTTTTTGCATTTAATATAATTATTTTCTAAAATGTTGTAAAAGTATTCAACAAAAACTGTGATACACAAACTCATGACAAAAACGCATTACTTCTCTTTAATAATCACATGCAAAACTACGTATTAGTTTTACAAATCAGGAAAGAATGGAATATAGTGTTGTAACATTGGTTGTGCGAATGAACATTAAACCGAACACATATCTTTTTGCTGATATAATCACCTCGTTTTGCAATTATAGGATTGGCACGAAACATCGTAAACAAGTAATAAATAATTCTGACACTCTGATAAATTCAATTTTGTATTTAATAACATTTTTGTCGAAATGTTACATATAAAGATGACACTATGTACGTAGCTCGAGATATTTGTTTTTCTTTTTTTTTTGTACCGCAATGTTATCGACGATGCTACAAATTCACTTATCTCTCGAATAATTATCCATTTTTTTTGCTTGACATGACCTTTTTAAACAGCACGTTACTTTTGACGACGATCTCCGATAAAACGAAACTTTGAGTTGACTTGAAGTACAAGCAAGAATTTATTAACAAATAGTGGCGCAAGTTTTCAGATATTACAGTTTCGATTTATCTGTTTGCTTAAGTTCGTCTCTAATCATCGATTCTCTGCATCAATTATAGCATTATCAAATCACTCATGACAATCGCGCTTTTTCCGACGCGTATCTTACGATTCCAAATCTAACAACAACTTTTAAGATACAAATCTTAGGAGTACTTTTCGAAATTTTCGCGCAAGCAAGTGACACATTAATGTCAAAGCGAAAATGTCAAATGAAATGTTTACACCAATTGGCTTTAATCCATAATGTGTACACGTAAGTAAAATTCTACGCTCACGAAGCGTAATGAATGTTACTCGCGCGGATTCACTCGTGATTGAACGTACATTTAAAAAAACGTACGTCCAGGTTTCTTGAGAGTAAACAAGAGATCGAGCGCGCTCACCTGTAGATTTGGCGATCCTCGGAAAGAGAACTGTGACATGATGTGTCGGCCGCTCAGGGCCGTGATGGTCGGACGCTGCTATGCGATCATCGTTCCAAAAGTCCGTGGCATTCGCTGTGCGTGACGCAGTCACTACGCGGATTTGTCACACTTTCGCTTTCCTCGATCACCAGCACGCGCTCGAGGCGAGCGCTCACGCGGGGACCGCGAGAACCCTTTCTTGTCGCGGGGTACGACACCCTCGCGGTAGGGTGTTACTCGCGCCGACAACACACTCGCGTGCCCTGTCGTCGCGGCTCCGTGTCCGACCGCACTCGATCCTGTCGGAATCGGTGACGATCCGTAGCCGGCATATGCACTCGCACTGTCACACGCGAGAACAGATCGGAGCTTGATGACAACCGCGCAGACGGTTTTTCCAAGTCTTCTTGTTGGACTACATCCGTTATCGTCGCGGTGACACTCGCGAAGTAGTCCGTGAAGAAATTGGAGCGGATGACAGTCCCCGCGTATTGTGAATCACACTCGCGCTAGCTGAAAAAGGGACGGCGCGCCGAAGAGCCCCTTCCCGCAGAAAGAGTGCAAAGCAGCCGCCGGCACACTGCCGAAGTGTCACGAGTCGCGGTACCGACGTCGCGGAAAAAAAAGGTCGGAGGGCACGGACACGCGCAGCGCGCAATACGTGGTGCTTGTCGTGGTGGTAACGCGCGATGCGGTTAGTCGTGGCGGCTAGTTCACTTCGTTGATCCGATCGACGCGCCAGCTATGATCGGTCGCGACTATCCTCCGAATCGTCGTTTCTTTTCGACGGAATCCAGTCCTCCGCTCGGCGGATAGGAAGGCGGAGGTACGCGGGTCGCGGGTGCAAGCGAGACGGCCGTGGCGAGAGGAAGCGAGAAGGGTGGACGGAATAGAGGGAGGAGGGAGCGAGAACGTGCGAGCGCTAGAGGGACGGGACAGCAGGCTAAGCGGGGGAGGGAAGGGGAGAAACGAGAGGGAGAGAGAAAGAGAAGTAGAGTGGTAGGTTGAGCGAGGGTGTCGGAGATACACCGCTGAAAAAGGAGAGGAATGACGGAGGAAGACAGAAGGAGTGAGAGAATGGTAAGCGAGAGAGAAAGAGGAAAAGTATGTGTGTATGTGTGTATGACAGAGAGAAAGAGAGGGAGAATGGTGAGGACAACGTGGATCGCGTAAACCGGGCCGTCTCTTTTTATCCTTTGCGGTCCTTTCACGCAGCCGGTCGTCTGGCGGCCTGCGCAATCATGCGCTCCAAACTCGCGAAAGAGAAACGTGTTCGTCTTCTTATGCCTCCTCTTCTCACGCGCCGACCGCGCCGGTTGTGGGTGTTCGTGGCGCTACCGATCGCGCGCGCTCGGTTGATTCCACGCGCGCTCCGCGAAAGCGCCAAGTACGAACTGACGACGGCGCGTGTTGCTGCGTTTACGCTTGGTTCTTGTCCCAACACAACAGCGACAGGGAACAGACACTGTTCCTGCTTTGTCTTATTGTTCCCCACTTATCTCCTTCTCTTTCTCTCTCTCTCTCTCTCTCTCTCTCTTTCTTTCCCTCTCTCTCTCTCTGTTTCTCTCTCTCTCTTTCTCTTTCTCTCTCTATTCTCTTCACTTCTTTGTAGAATCTCTGTTTTTTTCCGAGTTATTTTCAATGTAAAGATGCAATTGTCGATCTAATTGTCTATTTGTTATCCTGGTGTACACTTCCACGTGATTGTCACTGAAAAATGATTTTGTTCCACATTTTTACAAGCGCGATAAGCACTGCTTGACCATCGTCAAGTGGTCGCACCTGCGCGTCAACCGATTCCACGTTTGTCCTCCTCGCTCGCAGAAGAATGACGTGATCCGCGGTTTGTAAGTTGCAATTGTACCCACGTTTCGCGAGATGACGGTTGATCGCGGGTATCGTAGGAGGAGGCAACGGGTACAGTGCCGGTGGCGCTGGCGGTAACGATAGTATCGCGCTAGTGGTGGTGGCCCGATGACGAGAGAAACGCTCGAGAGACTCGGCCGCTGACGGTGGTGGTGGTAGTGGCGGTGGCAGTGGCAGAGTCGTCGCCGTGGTTCTTTTCCTTCTACGGAAAGGGGGACGATTTTTGCGAGATGGTTTGTCCTCGGTGAGACGGGTGGGAGGGTCCAGGTTGGTGCGGCGCGCGGTATGGTGGGGACACGGGCACCACCTCTGTCGCTGATGCCGCTGATGCCACGCTCTCTCACTGCCACCTCGTACCCGCGCGCGCGAATTCGTACCGCGGGTAGCTCTCGTATTAGCACGCCGGGTGTCGTGCGTGACTCTCTTCTCTTCCCGCTCGTCTGGTCGTTGGCATCCTTCCTCGTCGCCGATCGGGCACGGAGCCGGCGGTTAGCGTCGGCAAACGCGACAATAAAATATGGTGAGTCGCCCGTGAGGCTCGGCTAACGCGACTCCCCTCGCATTTCCTCCCCTCGCTTGTCCGTCCTTTTCTCTTTTAGTTTTTTACCTCTCACTCTTTCACATAACGACTCAATAGCTCGATCTCGCTCCTTCACGCGTTCACTTTGTTTCTCCTGACGCCCCACCGTAGCTACTTTCTTCCCTCTTCGTTCTCGGCTTTCGTTCTCGTGGAGGGGATGGGTTGAATGAGACGGAGGGGACGCGACCGGCCGAGATGCTGCCACACTCCGATATGGTGGGGCGAGAAGAGTGAGCGGTTGGTAGAGTGCGGAGGGAGCGAACATACGGGGAGACAGGGGTTGGTGGGTGGTGGGTTGAAAGGTACGGAGGCAGAAACTACACGACAATTTTAGTTCGATAGATCCCGAAGTTTAGCCTCGGCGGCGCTGCTTTACTTGCCGCTGACTTCTTCCCGGTAGTTTGTTCGTTGCCCTCTCTCTCGTTGCTGCCGACTGCTCCTCCACCTCCTCGGACACGACCGCACACTCCGACCTATGTCTCCCACCATCGGGCCCACCGTCTCGTTTTCTTTCTTCCTCTTTCTCAGTTCTCTCCTCCACCTCTTCTTCTGTGTGACAAGATCGCCGACTACTTCGTGCCCCTTCCTGTGCTCAGCGTTAGCTCCGATGCTGCGCTACCTGCCACTCCTCCTTATTCCACGCACTACGCGACACTTGACTACACCACCTTCTGTCTCTCTCTTTCCTTGTTTGTTTCTCTACATACTATTCTCTTCTCTTGCTTTCTCTGTCTCTCACATTTCGTTCGGCGACCTCTTTCGCTTCTATCCACACGTTGTAGTCTCATTTCCACCTATGACATCTCCGTCTCTCTTGCGCGTTTACACCGCGAAATGCACCATCGTCACTTCGGTGAAGGTATTACACGAACGCGTTTTACGCAGAGTACTACGCTCGTTTCGACAGTTTAACGCAACAATGTCGCACGAACATCACATTGCGCGCCCCGAGCGTCAGTCATCTCGTTAGTTGTTACACCGAGATTCTATAGCTTCGCGTCACTGTTTCTCCGCAGAATGTGGTCTAACAAAATTAATGAATGCACAAGCATATTTTTTTAAAATGATCTAATTATATCTGATCTGATTTAATCTGAATTATTTATTTAAAGTAAAGTATGCACTTATGATCAAAGTCAAACGCCAGCATGGGATAATCGCGACGACGAGAACGACGACAACGTTAGAGACCTCGGCTAAGGCGTTGTGAGATGTTTTGCGCAGTTCTTTTAAAAGAACTCGCTTCCTCGCGCGTACTTGTCACCCTCCTGGCGCGACTACCGAGGAAAGGGGCGGATAGGGGCGGTTAAAGGTGGCGGATCGCGGGCGCGGAAGTATGTTTCGTGTCCACGCTGGTGGGGGTCTTTTCTGAAGGGGGCAAGGGGTTTGCGCGCGGGGTGAGAAAAAAAGACGTACTGATATTTTTCGCCAACTGATCGACGATGCGCGCACACAATTACACGATTCTACGTGCACGTGCGCGCATACCTGCCGGCTACAATATTTTTGCAGTGAGCATACACATGTATGCACGCATGTGTTGGTACCCGAGTGCAGAAGAGAGCGCGGGGAAAGGTGCTGGATAAATCGTCCCCTTCCACACTTCTTTTGCCTCCCCTCTAGCATGTCAGGGTGGGTGCGAAGCTCGGCTTTTTTCCCCTCCGTGGGCGCGGACTAACCTCGCCCCGCCTCCGTCTCCTTCGTTCTCGTCCCCTCCACCCTCTACACGGGTGGTTGTTGTAGCACGGCGAGAGTGACTACCACTGAAACTCGTGACGCCGTCGCCTCTCCCGTCGTCACCCCGCGAGCGACGTGCACGGCACGCCGAGCCGCTACTTCGCGCTCTCACTCGCCGCAGAGCGACGGAGGAACTCGTCGAGGAAGCGAGATCGCTGACAGTTGTGACGGCCGGTGCGACCAGGACGGGACGGAAGCGGGACAGAGAAGGGAGGAAGGACAAGCGGGAGGAGGGGGTACACTCCGAGATGTGAAACATTAGTGTACCGTTTGTTAACACCGCGGTCTACACACAATCGCGCGCAAACTCTCCCTCTCCTCGTCTACGTCAGCTCGCGTCCGGCCCTCTTCCCTCCGTCATTCTGTGCGCCTTTCTTTAAGAGGGCGTTACTGTTGGTACGTGCACGGACAAACGCGTGTGAGCGCCTTCCTTCTTCGTGAGTGCATCGCGAAATGTCGGCACGTAGAAAGTTTCTCTCTTCTTGTTGTTATCCTCCTCTCGTTTTTTCTTTCACGCTTTAACCTTCTGCCTTACCACACTACCTTATATATTTGTCTGTCTGTCTCTTCCTACTGACTTTCCGCGACTGTGAATCTGAATTTGTCGACATTAATATAATTGCGTTAAGCCGCAATTTTAAGAATCTGTCGACCTAGATTGATTGATAGTTGAATTTCTTGTGCGAGTGATGACACCAAGAATCTCGTAACTTCGACTTGAGGATGATTTGCGGACGATTGTGGATAATGGAGAACCGTGAAAGGTGCAAACATATATATCGCCAAAGGATAATGACGATCAATTGAGATAATAGAGAGATTTATCTATGTACTTTCTAACTAGATAAAGAGCGAACTAAACAACAACTAAAAGTGACACAATTTCGACGTGTGCATCGTACTGCATTTGATCCGTTCTGTGACAAATAATTTATTTATTAAGTGGCTTACGATTATGAAAATGTCTACTCTAATTTTTGTCATTGCGTTATTTTAGCTTTATAAGTTCACGGTTTATCTCGTTAGATAATGATTAATAGAAAAAGAGTATCAAACGTAAGCTATGTTGTGATCTTATTGGAATTTCTTCAGCTGGAAAACGATTATCGGACTTAGTTCCTTAAACGTGCGTTGTCGTCGTGTATCGCGCGATGCGAGAAACTAACTTTTATTTAAAACTAACTTATTTAAAGAACCTGCTGTGCTTATATGCAACATGTAGTATTTTTTTTTCAAACAAAGTTTGCCGTTTTTTATTTAAGAAAATTTTATTATAATAAAGTATTTATAAAATTATTTTTTTCTTACATAATAAGGGGGGTCAGTTGCTTATAATTTGCATATAGTAGAAATAGCTTTTTAAAAAATTCTTTATTAATCAATGCATTGTTAATCAATAGGTGTCATATGAGCGAAATTATTAAATTATATATCCAGAAGATTCGCTGCTTAAATGCCGCTCTATGCGTTCGTGATAGCGTAACTCACGCGAAAGCGATATAGACGTTAAGTGGTACGTTTGACAATTTGGCGGAGTAGACGTGCAGAATGTTAGACGTGATGTCGATCAGCGATGCGTATCAGCGACGCACGCAAATGTGTAAAACACACTACGACATGTCGTACGAGATGACGCGATACACGCGTGTAAAATAGATGTGTCCCTTTGCACGTGAATTGATCCGGCAGGATCTATGTAAAAGCTGTCAGTCCTGGCAATAGCCTGCAATTATAGATCGCGCGCGATAAATAAAGTGCACGTAACACTAAAGCGAAAGGGACCCGTTCGACATCGCGCAGGCAAACTATACGGCTCATCGCATGTTTGCGGGCAACTCGCAATTATTCGCACGGAACATCACGTATATGTTAATGCTTAGCCGACATCGAAAGCGATTCCCTTGGAGGAGAGAACAGATGCCTTGTATAATTTTGCGATACACGCAATGAATACGCATTCGCATCGATTACTCTTATTCCGAGTCCGATCCCTCTTTAACCTTATGATAATTAGAGACTGCGAAACATGAAAATCTTGTCAGTTATTTTCAGTATGGTTACATCGTTGTATACATAATATGTCGTATATATAAACACATA